TATTTTCATTAAATACCTACAATGATGGACTCGATTTCCTGTTGCAAACCATTGAAAGTCGATATTCGAATAAACACGAACGAAAAAATATTGTGATGGTAAATTTATATAATGTCGTATGTTAATATGTAATTATTAATGTAATTATTAAATGTAATTATTAACACCGAAGATCCGTTATGAATAATGATATTATTGTAAATCGTGTGTAAATTATGTTTTATTAATAAGACATTTACGTAGACATTTCGTCTACAACCCTCATTGATTATAGACTATTTTATCCAAAATTGTTACCTCCAACATTTTGAAATCGATCAAAATTTATTCGACAAACAAAATGTGTGAAACATTTCGATCCCTCGGTTGTAAGCAGGAGAGTATAAAAGTTGAGTACCAAATTTCAAGAATAAGATCACACTATTTAATCTTTAAAAGATACATCTTTACATACATTTTGTCCTTTGCTTAAATTGTATGTGCTTTTAGATTCTGGGCTGATCGAGAATGTATTGATTTTACAACAATATGTGTTTTTTGGTGTATGAAATTAGAAATTCATAAAAAATGTTCAATTTATATCTAATATTTGAAAATTTACTTCAATTTTGTACAAAAAAAAATGTTTTTCCGAAAAATCAAACTAATTTTTTATGAGCATTTGAAGTTTAAATTTCCTTGACATAAGATTTTTAGCCTAATGAGTAATGTGTTTTCAGCAAATGAATTCTTATTTTGTTGTAATTCATTAAAAAAATGACAGCAAATACTTTAAAATTTACTAAATAATTATTTTATCATTTTTCATGATAACATTTTCAAAATATTTTGTCTCATTTTGAGCTACCTGTAACCTATACGAATACACATATAATATAAATGTATTGTAATTATTTTAATTATTTTACAAAAATTTAAAATATAAAATATTTTACATTTTTGTAGTTCTTTTTCTATAAATGTTATTTAATTCTTTTTCATTGGGTCAAAAGCTTTAAAATTGAATTCAAAGTTCTCCATAAGTTATTATAATAACAAATAAAAACATTAATGATACACACATGCACATTTTTCATGAGTATTTAAAGTTTACAATTGATCAAAATCTTAAAAATTTGCAAATTATTTAGTAGTCCCGAATTTATAAAATTTTCAGTTTTACATAGTCGAGAATTGAAAATTTAAAACAAGGTATCTCATAAATAGGTAGTCCATACAGGCATTAAAAAATCTAAAAAAAAAATATACAAACACAATTTTGTTATTGGTATCTTCAGTTCGAAAATGGACGAAATGAGATATTTGAACGAAGAATAAAGTTAATAAAAAAATCCTTGTTATTTTGTTGTAATTTAAAAATTGTATTAATGACAGACCTTACAGTCTACGCTCAAAATCGTTTTTCGTATATATAATAATATTAAATCATCGAATTCAAATTTTACACCATCCATTACAGTGACCCAATTGTAACCTATAGACTGTACAGCAGAGCAGTATCCATCTTCTTCTTGTGGTTTCCTAAGTGATCGATAATTTTGCCTTATTATTAATGTTTAATATGAATATTTATGTAATTTATTTAACATTAATAGTAAATAATATTAAATACTTATTGAATAGTATTTGGCCAACCTATATCTATATGTTGGTCACCAAATTAATGGTTTATTTTATCATATTCATAAATATTCAAAAATAAAACTCAATTCTGAACTAATCGTCTGCAAAATCTTGTCATTAATTATTTATTTATCATGTCCAAATAATTGAGTTGACTTAGTCGTCGAGTGGTTGAAATGTTTTACATCGTGTCATTGTGTGTAGAACTATTATAATCAAATAAAGTCGTGATTTTGAATGTTTAAATAATACAGATTTGCGATATGTGCTCTTATACGTAGTACGATCAGGGGCACCAAATTGTCCACAGCCTATTATGGACTTCACGAAGGTCTTAACCCCGGGCCTGTATTTCAGTACGTGATTTTGGAGTAAAAATACAATAATATATGTACATATATGTAGTATAGTTATATAAAATCAATTGCTTTCTAAAATAAACTAATTCGTTGTATAACAATGGTAATGTATTATATGGGGCATATTTATTAAGTATTTAGTCAAGTTTAAATAGGTATTATAATATTACTATAGGTGCTGCAGCGCTAATAGGAAATCAGTTAGAATAACTTCCTACCTAGTACCTATCCTATAACTTGCTTACTGTTTTACTACTTAGAACTTTAGAAGTCAGAAGTAAGAACTTTCGGAAAGTATACTTATCTTTATCATTACGTTTATTTGAATAAATATATATATACCTATAAAATAAAATTTGAATCGGTCACTTTGACTAATTAAAGTGAATATAAAAATAATGAGTGATTCAATAACTCAATGAAAATACATAAAAGAAAAATATTATATGGTCAAATGAAAGTATATAATGGTGAAAATCGTTTTGATCTATATTTCGGCAAATTGTTTATTACTTATTATAAACTCCATGCCTCTGTGTTTCATCATAATAAATTATATTTGAGTTGTATAATACCACGAATCACAACATAATATAATAATATACGGAATGGACGAACACGTTATACGTATCTATCTATATTATTTTTTCGACAAGTGATGTGTGCAAGTCTGCGATTGTGACCGCAGACAATATACCTACGATAGCATTCGGCCGTCGGCTTTTCGAAACTGGTTATACAGATACCGGTCCATTTAATTTATATGTTGTACCCACCGGCTGAAATTTTTTTGAAATTATTAATTGAACTATATAATATAGTTCTATATGATTATACCCACTGTGCGATTATGTTTCGTCTCAGTAAATATCTATTCGAATCAATATTAAATCTACCGATAAATTGCATAATATTATTAGTTGTTAAAAATGCAATATTAGACAAAATTACAAAATGCATATGAACTGTTCTTATAAGTAAGTGTAGCCTTAAAACAAAAAGCTAGAACATAACTTTAACTCACTAAAGTTTCATGAGAGCAGTTGACGAAACATAAGAGTACCGAGACTCAGATACTCAGATAGTCCTATTCCTATGCATACATTTACACGATAATCCATTTAACGCGAGACACTTACGTTTTTGAAAATATTTCTTTATAGGATTTTAAATCGTTATAAAGCTATAGTTTTAAAAAAAAATTACATTTTATTCAATTTTTTGAGTAGTAATTTTTTAAGTTTTTACTCTTTTGAATGACGACATACATTTTTAATTTCATATTCTGTAGCAGGATATTATTTGGAGTAATTCGGTATGAATCAATTTTCGGACAACTCTAGTCTATTAGTTGTTATAAGTATTAAAAGTTTAAATGATCGGAGTAGTGGACCAGCATTTCATAGTGTACTACTCCACTCCTATCATTTGAAACTTTTAATACCTGCCTACTTATAACTAATAAGCTACTCTCCCGAAATCAAGGAAGTGATTTTTATAGATCAAAACACACCAAATAATATTCTGCGTAGGAATATGAAATTAAAAATGTATGTTGTCATTTGAAAGAGTAAAAACTTATAAAATGGTAAAAAATGTGGTTATTCAACGACTCAAAATAATGTAAAAATAAATATTTTTAAAAACGTTAGTAGGTTTTGAAATAACAAGCGTCTTACGTTAAATGGATCACTTGGTAAATAGTCGTATAAATATTATATAAACTCACAACTGTACAAGGTAGTAAATAAGTAAATCATATTATAAGTACACTATAATTAAAGCAACTTGAGCAATGTAATTAAAATGTTTAATTACAATAATTATGTGAAATAATTACTTTTAACATCTCATCACACTTTATAAATATTGCTGCGTCCGAGTTCAAACAAGCTCGAATAAGTATAATTTATTTAATAATTAACACCTTATTTTTTTCATCTGCTTCAAATATAAAAATGATTTTTATTGTTGCTAGATTTATTTGATATATTTTTTTAAATAAAGTCATATTATGCTATATAGTTAGTAATAAATTCAAGAGTTACTTAAAAAAAGTAATGATTTAATAAAATGCAGATTAGGTATACTTATACGTTATACTTTTAAGAGGATGTCACCTGCGTGTGTTTTATCCGTCTCAAAAACATACAACATAGCACATTTTCGTTCAACAATTCCAATTTGGTATTGTTAGTTTTAATAGTAGAGAGAATTGATTTACTTATTATCAAACTTTAATTTACCTAAGAACTAAGATCATTATGTTTTTTTTGAAATATTTTAACTTTAAAGGGAGATTTTAACATTTTTAAATTATGATATTTTACGGTTTACTCATATCTCGCTTTAAAATATCGAAAAAACATATGATTGAGTACATTTAAATTTGATAGGTAATATGTCAATTCACTCCAGTGTTAAAACTAATAATACAAACTGGAACTTCTGAACAAACATCAACTAGATACAATGGATAACTGGATTTTTAATCACATTTAAGGTTAAACACCATCATATTTTCTAAGAAGTATAGATTGTTACACCATTGAAGGAGTGTTCTGTGGCGATTTAGAACTTTTTTCAAATCAGAACCAACCTAAAATACTGTAAGTTATAAAGCAGATGTTTTTTTTTAAATTTTGATGTAAACCGTAGGGTATCCTAATCGAAATTGAATTTTTTTTTATTAGCGACGTTAAAAACAATACCTCATATACCAAATAGCTGCAGCCGATATCATATAATTTCGAGTGTGGTAATAAACTATTTAATAATAATATATAATATACCTGTGCTGTATATTTTGTATTAATATATTAGTAGACTGTATATTATGATATATTGCACTAATGTGCTGCGATCGTATAAGGACCGCAGAAGGTTACACGGTCGTTAAAAGGTCAATAGTAAATGCTCGAACAATATACTAGCACGACGATAATATTAGGTATGTAAGTACCTATACGAAACGACCGCCAAGGAAGAATTAAAAACGGACCGGCTGAAAGGGCGGATAAAAATACAGGAGGTCAGTTTTTCGAGAGGTGGTCGCCCGACAACAATAAGCATATTGCGCCTGCACACAGAAATATGAACACATATGATAATATGTGACTTAGAGCGGTTGCCCTTATCGAACAATCGGGCGCACCGTTTACATGCACGCCGCGGGTATAAGTCGTTACCGTCGTCGGCCACGCGAAGGACGCCGCGGACTCGCAAACTCTAAATATTGTTTCGAAACTAATCTCTGTATCCGTAATACTCTGGGTTTTTGAGGGGTCCTGGACATTTTTACCAGTCTCGGTGGTCTGGATGTGATTGGGCCCCGGCCCAGGGAACTATGGTGGACAACAACGCACCATATTATTAGGTAGGTATGCAAACATGAAAAAAAAATTTAACCGACTTTATTGTTACGCATTACAGTAAAATTATTAAATTGTTAGATAAAAATTGTTTTTAATTTATTCATTTTGTCTTTATATGTTAAATACATAGATTAGGTACATATCCCTTTAATAGATACACTTGTGGTAGGCTAGACTAGGTCAAACATAATTATTATTATATTATCATATATATTATTTCAGATGTCAACATTCCTTTTCTCATCGAATACTACAAAGCATTCAACAATCCGCACACCAAACGTTGAGCTATTGCTTTTGCTTCTGACATTCGTTAAAAATTAAGTTTAAATGAAACAAAAATTAGTCATTGGCCAACGTCTTTAATGGATACGCATCTAAAAAACAAATTTTTGCTAATACAGGTAACAACCGAAAATTACTGCAGGACGAAGAAAATAATCCCTTCTTAAATTGAATTTTTATAATTGTACTCGATACTGCCAGTTGGCAAACTAAAATTTAAAAGTAATTTACAATAAAATAAACTTTAAATATACTAATGACACGAATATAAATTAAAACTATAAAGAAAAACAGTAACAAATAATTAATTCTAAAGTACCTCATTCTTTAAGCAACTAGTTGCAAATTCTAGATTTAATACATAGTGCGATAAGTTCATTTAGTGCAATTAAATATTTCCTTTTTAGTATCGAAAATTCGAGAGGTATAGAGTTATAAAATAATAACAGGTCCTCGATAATCAACGAACTTTTGACTAAACCTTTTTTTAGCATAGGTATTTTATACTTTATCATAAAATAATTGATTACATTAAAATTGTTTGTCAATAAAATTATTTTAAAAAAAATTTTAATTAACAATATTTTACAATTGTACACTTAAAATAGAAAATAATATTTTCAGGCATACAATTTATTTATTGTTGGAAATTAATTTTGTTCACGCTAGCAAATTATTCTTTGGTCTTTCGTTTTTAAAACCCGATGGGGTTAATAACTGTTTTTATGAAGACCTAATGGCTATAAAACCTAACGATGAAAGAGTTGATAATTTTTTTAATTATTTTGAAAGAATTTATGTTTCGCTGGAAAGTCAATTTCTACCGTCAAACTCGTTAATGCGGACCACCAACGCACGCGCGTGAATCGTTTCACTCATACGAAGTTCAAATTTAGGAAAAATGTTTGATATCTCAATTATTTTGACAGTTTGTCAATTTCACTTTTGAAAATTCTTATTATAAGACTTAAATATGAATTCAATTGTTTATATCTGTATTAAAATTGTTTTTAATAATATTGACGAAACCTTCCATTACTTCCACTTTAGTTTTTAATAATTTGATGCCAATTTTGGGACGGTTATATTTACATTGATTTGTATTTAAATTAAACATATTTGTGTCCATCTAAAAACTGTAATTGTTATTATTATTATTAATCATACAATGTTAAATAGTTATAAAAATTTACTTTAAATATATGTGCATTTATTTGTTTCAACCTCTACATAATCATGGTCTTTTGCGCATACGGATATACCCTTTTGTATAAATTATAATGTAATGTATAAATTGTGCCTATTTATAAATAGGTATAAGGACCAAATTTTTTTTTGTGAAAATGACAAACTATATATAGGTAGACATAAAATAAAAAAAGGAAGTATTCAGCAGAAAGTATATAAATTTAAACAAGTATATACCTATTATACTTAAATTAGTAGGTAGCTATATAAAATTAATATGTTAGTACCTAGATAAATATATATTATAATTTAAAATTGTACATAAAACTCAGTAAGTTACTTATGTTGAGTATTATTATTAAGTACAACTGTACAAGTACTTATAAGTATAAATGTAATATTAGTATAACCAGTAGGTTGTATACTATATATAAACATAAAGAGAAACAAAATAACATTGAGCAAAAGGTAGTAGAAACATTCATTTAAACAAATATAATACTCTTAAATTAAATAAATTAGTAGGTACTTATATTATATTATAACCACTAACCAGTGTAATGTAATGAGTAATGACTAATAAGTGAATTTTAATTTACATTTAATTTAACATTAATTTTATAATATTGACAGTAGGTGGCTTTATAATAGTATAGTAAAACCAATTATAAAACTAACCTAGTTTGTTTAAATTGACTGCATTATTTTGTTCATTATACATTATCTGGTTTAAATTAGGGTGAGATTTATCAAATTTTGTTATAATCGAGTACAAGTATTTTTGAATAATAGCCAAACTGCACTCGATTGAATTGAATATTCTAAATTAAATAGTTGAGATATATTAAAACATAGATATATAGCTCTTATAACAGTAAAACTTTAAATTTAATTTAATCAAAATAAGCAATTATCATAAAAACTAATTTATATCCCATTGGTATCATATAGCTTGGCAATTCTTTAATGATTTCTTCAGTAGATGTGGCCTTTTTAATTGTATTTCATCGATAGTTTACTGTTTCACCCTAATGACGTTCAAATTCTGGTAAATTGCAGTTGTCATATGTCTGATTTGGCTTGTAACTAAATTTATGTTTCCTTCAGGTTCTGTAATAAATTAGTAATATATTTTATTATAAATAACTAAAAAAATTAGTAATTTGTTGAACTTACCTACCATAATTATTACTATCTCATCGACTAAAAAGTTTACTGTTGGAGAATTTGATCATTTGTCTCTCATTTGTTTTTTTTAGTTATCAACCCACTTGTCTTTAATGTTCATATTGTGTTAATATATTTACAGTAAATCTTGCCTTTGGGTTGTATAAATTGGTCTTTCATAAAATAATTTTCATATAAAATGGAATAATTTACTAACTATTTAATAACTAAATGGGAGCATACTTCAACAGTTCAACAAGTTACTATGTAAAATATTATTGCCATTATTCATTAATTGTATAAACAATAGTACCTAGAGACTATATGATAGTGTATGTACCTTCCTACTCATAATTTTATTTTAATTGTATCATATAGGTACTTTATACATTTTCTATGTTTTTGATACAATGGTAGTGGTACCTACATATAAATCCACTCTTTAAGCATTAAGTATTTACTGAGTTCCAATTAATATATAATTATTTTTAAAATAGGTATTAAATAACAAACATTCAAACCTCCGGTTCAGATGGAAATATTCTTTGAATTTATTTTGCAATATTTTCAGCAAGTGTCACATACATAACTATTTTGTTGGATACTAAATGTTGAATAATTAATTTTTTCATTGAAAATTAACATGGTTCAGTATACAAACTATTAACTAATACAACTAGGTATTATATATTTACAAACTATGTTAAATACACTTAGGGATGTTTTGTGTAGACAGCTCAATCACCATTCATGTAATAAATGACTAATTAATTGAACATTATCATCATCTATTAGATAATTGTAACCAGGTATAGTTGGAATATCTATGTATTCAAATTCATTAGTGTTTTCTTTCAAGACTTCACCTGAATATAAAATTGATTTTTCATAATATAGGTAGTTGAATTAATATGCCTGTAGACTTATAGTTACCTTTTTAATAATTGTTAAAAAAAATACTGACTTGCGGGTTTATTACATTTCTGGTGTCACTTTGAAATACCGATGTATTCACTGAGTCTTCATTTGAAGCTGATTCAGACATTGAACCATTGAGATTTTCAAAAATGTTTAGTTTTCTATTTATTCTTTTAAGATACAATATACTTAGGTAAGTATTAACTTAAATTTTATCATACATATATTTAATATTTTAAAGTACCTATATATACAAACAGTCTTTTCAGTTAACAGTTAGATATCGATACCTAATATTTTAAATTAATATATTTTTCAAAAAAACCACGTGTTCAAATTCGTGTCTCGGAAAATTCGTGAAATTCATTGGTTTTATTTATTTATGGGTGTACACACTCACATATTATTATGTACCCAAGTACTATAGATAAATTAGTTTATCATCTCGATTACCGTGTTCGGTATAATCTCTATGTCGTTAGGTATTAGGTACCTACCTGTTTGCAAAAATATTTTGACATTTTGCATATAATTTGATATATTATATTATCCAGAGAAAATAGTAAGTTGTGAAAGTTGTGTGTATAATATAAAATAACAACTAAAAGTTAATATTATACACTAATACCTTTCTCCTATTATTCCGTTTTCGTTACTCGTCCATTATGCTCTACAGCACGTACCTATGATGGTTTAGTATTCTATCTACTGTAAACATTTTATCTACCATCATACCCGTCGACTATAGTTGATTTTGATCTATTCGCAAACACCTCGGCTTGTGTTACCTTTAATTGAAATATCCAATACCAAACAAATTCTATGATATCACACAAACTTAAACCACTGTTACACTTCCCATTTTTATCCATGTATAAGTAAAAAAGTTATTGTTTTTGCGTTTGGAGTAAAATGTTTTTCACCCTTTCTTGTACATCAATTATAAATTGTTTTCAAAATATTACCTTCCGAATCACGTTTTTGACTTTTTTTTTAACTCATCAACACAAATTGTTTGGTTTTTAATTTTTGTACATGTTTGGTCGATTACAAATTGGTAATAAACAGCGTATGTTTAAACAATTTTCGCACATCTCTTCATTTTGAATTATGTGTCGATATAAATAACTTATAGTTGACAAACTTATAATAATAGTTAATAAATAATAATAAATAAATCACTGTAAGATCACAGTAGAATCACATATAATCGACACAACTCATTAACACACACTAAACAGGTATAATACAAAGGTATACCTACTGACCTACTTAACCCACTAAGGTATAAATGCAATATAATTTGGGGTTAAAAGTTTAATCATATTTTCAAAGTATATATAATATACAGCATACGGACATACGGCAGATATCATACTCGTATTAAACTATCATAAAATTACAGTAGATAAAATATTTACGGTAGAAAGCATGTTGGACGAGTACCCCGTTTTCTTTAGTGTATGCTGAATTTTGTTTGATTTACTCTCATCAGTCACCCTATATTGTTCATATCGGATATCCACCACCAATGAGTTTGTAAGCAAATAATAATAACCAAAAAACTTTTAAACTAAATCATTCGTAATTCTTAAATTATCTGTATTGAAAACAAACTGACGTTTTAAACAAACACAAGTACAATATGTAAAAAACGAATATTGAGATTGGACGTAAAAAAAATATTATTAATCAATCAATCAAAATAAAGTAAATCCAAACTAATAATTAAAATACAATATCCAAAACAGTCATTTATATCATTTATATTTACAATGATACAATTGTAATCAAAATGTTATAACTTATAATGCATATTAATAAAACGAAATATTTTGGATGATTTCAAGTAAAAATGATAAAATTCGGTAATAGGTAAGTAATATTCAATTTTAAACTATAAGGTACTATACGATACTATTATAGTTGTCTTATGAACATTAGGTACCATTTCATGTTTTATAATTTTTAATAAGCCAGAACCAATACATAATTTTTAAGTAGAATCACACAAATATTTCATTTCATTTCTATTCATATAAAATGAATAATTTTTAGCATATTTTAATTTTTCTTTAAATATTTTATGGATAATAATAATATATACTGGCTAGCGGACTCACCATTATTCCAGTGATAATGAAAAAGAGCCACCCGGATTTCATTTCCCCCACCATTTACATACGATGGAAGCGTAATTATGATTATTTTCATTCATAATTCTTAATTTATTTCAGTTATTTTCTTACTTCTTTAACACATAAAATGTAGTAATAATTAGTACATACACATTACACCTATATTACCATGATCATAAGTTATAAGTTATAACTCATATTTATTACTCCCAATGATATGAAAAAATATAACATTTAACAATAAATTAAAATCACATAGAAAAACCTATAGATAAACAAAGATTTAAAAAAAAAAACAACATATATACCTAAACTTAACAGTATATTTACTATTCATACTAGAGTACAAAATAATTGTATTAATATATATTATAAATACACACAAATAATCTTAAAACTGTACGACAAAATAAATTTGTAAATAAAATTTCATCGTAAGAATCTTGAAATAACTCTGAATTCTATACTTAAATTTATTTTTAATGTGCCCTATATGTATCCTACTTCTAGTTCATATAATGCGTTAAATATTCTAAAGTTAAATTCCTTATATTTTAAAAATATTTGATATTAACGTATAATGATGTGAAATATGACATTGCGGTTCCGAATAACTACTGTCACTATAATACTATACTCGTCTTAAATCTGATTCTAATGTTTAAGTCCCTATAACAAGAACCGTTTTTGAACAACATAGTCACAAATACACTCATTTTTAAAACAATAAGTTATCATCGTATGTTTTGAAACCTATATGACTATATTACAAATTACAATGTATTAAATTGTATTGTAATCATGATTAGATACTGCTCTGAATTTTCGATGAAAAAAAATATTTCGAGCAAAAATAGATATAAACATTTTTTTACATACCGTAGTGTAATGTATGTATGACATAAGTATTTTTTTTTGGGGGGGGGGGGTTAACTTTTATTTGTCATTCCAATACTCTTATATAACTTAAGTCAGTTACAATATAAATTTGATAAAATAAAAAAATATGATGAGCTTATAAGCTTATCTTCCAGGCTCAAATAAAAATGACTGTATCACTGCGTATAAGTATTGAAATTATATCCTAATTACTACGTATGAATTATCGACAGTGATTAAATTTCTTATCTTTTCGAAATGTTGGTAAGTTTAATTGTCAATACATTTATTCATTAGTGGTAATTTATAAACTATATAATACATGTTTTAAAATCTTAATAACTATTTTTGATTTCATTGTTTCAGATTTTTAGAGCCAGTTTGCACTCTTTGTGAGAACTGAGAAGGTTACAGTTGCAGCCATGAATCATGAAATAGATCAACTTTATCAACTTTACCTATGCTTCAATGGGAAATAGAACGGAATGCGCTTTTCTCTACCCTTTTTACGCACCGTAAGTATCCATTGTCTAAAATATATTTCAATTATACTTAAACTTGTTTAATTTTAAATTTCAGAAGCTTTGCCTGGATTAGAGAATACGGTACAAGATTAAATCAAGTTTAATGAAGCAATAGAAAATTACTTAAATCATTTTAAGCATTCATCTGTAGCATCAGTACTCAGTAGCATCAGTTATCTACACTAAACGGATAAAAATAATTTTAATATAAAATTTATGTACTTAAGAATTACATTAATTTTTTTCTTATCCATAAAAAAATATTATTAGTTTTTTTAAAATGTTATATTTTATAGTATATTATTTCGTTTTTAAATAAATCAAAATCAGTAAACAGAAAATGTTTTTTTTGATTTTAACTGAATAATGACCCGATTTTTATTAGATTATTACATTTATTATGAGAACTTAACTTGAAGATCAATTTATAACCACACAACTAAGAGCGTAACTGTTTTTAGCAAAAAAAAATTAATATTTTTTTATGTTCTACGATTGTTTTGAACTTCTATGGCCTGTGCATTATATTCCACAAATATCTAGAAAAAGAATCAAATATTTTTACGTGATTAAAATTTGATTAGGTACTTATTCTAGAAGTGTAGACTTTTAGGTAGGTAGGATTTGTTATAATTAGTTTCTCGTTCTCGTAGAAAAAATTTCATTATTAGATATTTAAAAAAAATAACCAAACGCGTTATAATAATTGCCTATCTAATACTCCTTAAAAAAGTCACACATATCCTACTCAATTCATTGTTATAAAAGATTTTACAAAAATCTTCACCGTGAAGTATTTAAATAATCGTCAAAATTATATTATTCTCTATACAGTATTTATAATAGTAATTTTCACATAACTCAATATTCAAAAGTAAATTAACTTATTATTGTTTCTAAAAATTGTTGACACCTAGTTTAAGTTAATTTTTTTTTGCTTTTTTTTGTTATTTATTGTGCTTTAAAATCCGAGCCCTACTAATAATCAATGACAAATGTATAGGCTATCAGATCATCTGAGCTCCGAATCGTTGTTCGTATGTGATCAGTGGTGGTCAAACGGGGCGAGAGCGATAGATCTTCCAATGACTTTTTTTCAATGTTTAGGAGCTGATGACCATAAACAAAACTTTTTAATAATCAAATAGTGCATGCTAAAAATTCAGCCATATCCCGCCCTAGACAAAATCAATTGACCATCATACTATGCAATGATAAACATTGAATTCAAATTATCACATCTATTACAGTAAACTACTCAATACCAAGGCACACTTGAATCCTTCTATACAGTAGAGTGGTTACCTACTTCTCCCCTTTTTAATCTTGCATGAGTTCAATTATTTTCACAAACTAGTTTTTATCATAAAATCTCTGTTATAACATAAATAATTACGCATCATTCTTAGGTATTAAAAAAAAAATCGGCGATAAATATATTTATTGAAATTTAATAGTTTTAAATATAGTCATGGAGTTTTTTTTTACCAATACCTAGTGTTGGGCTTCAATAGTTATTTCGGTTAATCACAGCACAATTTTGTCGACCAACATTTAAAATTAAAGTAATTTTGCAACATAAATAATTCAACCTTTTATAATGCAACCACTAACCGTATGCGTTTAACAAAATATCATTTTTGCATATTTTCACAGCAGATCAAATAGATGTGGACAATTTATTTTTGAGAAAATAAATCTTAAATAAATATAAATATATGATTAATAGGTAGGAGACATGGCCTTTGAATACGCCACTGTAAATATAGATACCATAAATCCATAATACTCTATAATATAATTTATACGTAAGCCGTTGTAACATAATATATGAATATAATATTAATTTTGTTATTGTGTATGATGGTAATCCGGTGCAATAAATAACAACAATTATGATAATTTTTTTATAACCAAATGTTGCTTATATATTGTTGATCGAATGTTTCTTACACTACTACGAGGTGTTTTTAGGTATATACTTTAATACTTATATATTGTAGGTAGGTATATATTATGTAATATGTATAATATATACACAAATATTATATTTTATGTATGTATTATTATAATACTGTAGGTACATCGTGATGTATGTACGTTAAAATTTTTAATTTCTACGCTAACATTTTGAACTGTTTATCATTTAAAGAAAAAAAAAATTAAATACAAAATTTAAATTGCATTTTATTTTGACATTTTGACATCCATTGGGCCGTCTACAAAGTACATATTACATATTTTGGCGCACTTAAACATATACTTATTATAGCTTCCAACGAGTACGTTGCTACTGCATAATAATAAATATTGACTTATATAATATACGATATTAAATTAATTAATTAATTATTTAAATCATACGTGTAATTAATATTGTATTTAAGTATAATAAGGCGAACTCAATACTCCAGAATGTTTCAGCAGTAATATTATCATCGATATGCGAAAACAAAAAAAAAAATATATAATTAAACTACGGTTATAACAATACATAAAGTAATATTATGTATTTATATACATATATATATATATAGTAACGGACCCGAAACAATTAACATGGCACCTACAACGGGAGGGTAAAATGTTCACGTTGTGTGTGTATATATATTGTATATTATATAATATCGGTATATCTGGATCTACTCGACACTGCAATGGCTGGTAGCTTCTGACTTTATTATACGTAATGATTTTTGTTCCCCCTAAACCCGAACGCGACACTATCGACGGTTGGTGCAGTTTTTTGGCGAAACGATCGAAATCACGCAGTGCAAAACACAGTATAATGATGTGATGTACATCATCAGCGGGTACTTCATAATAATACATACGGATGGTAAAAACTAATAATAATTGGAGTAGGTTTGTTTTTGGATTTTTCAAATGGTTTTTCTCAATAATTAGCAAATCCGTAAACTGACTCGAAGTTCATCATTAAAACTTGCTGAAGTTCATCAATTTTTTTCTCCTTATTAATACGGCAGTGTCAGGACTCCATTAAATGTATTCACTCGGGTTGCCCACACCCTTCTCCCCTCCCCCACCCGTTAAGGCATATAATTATTTGTTCGTCACGAGAACACGACGACGAATCAAACCGAATTTGATGGTATAATATATATTCGAATGTGTTACAGCCTTGTATTACTAAAAATGTATATCTATTTTCATCTCATCGCCCGTGAAATAACGACAGGATGGGACAGTTACACCTATGGCTATCAATCGACAAGTTCTAAGGCTACCTCCTCTGAATCTCTCCCCTAATCACACAACAAGGCGAAGCTATTCGTTTCTTTAGAATCGTAAAAAAAAATAATAGGTCGGACCTTCGATGGCACGCGGGTTAAGTATCTAGTACATACCTATCTATAGTCTATACATTATATCTAAATATTTATACATATAATATGAGAACCATGTGGTAAAAGTTGAGCCGATTAGTTTCAAAACGTACTACCTAACACTATACATACACATATACACACACCCACAAATATATATATATATATATACATATATAAATAAAACAAGACGCCCTTAACATTATATTATTATAATATTAGTGTACATAATGTAATGTTATTGTATACACGCCTATACATTAAATTTACATAGTCACTCTGGAGTATTATTTAAAATGTTGTATTATTATTAATACGAAAAGCGTCGTATGGCTCGTTTCCGACTCCGTGTTGCTAATAAAATAAACTACACGTGAAATAACAATAATATATCATATCAAAAGTATTAATATATACATATTACGCTTAACGAAAACATAGGTAATAATAATATTTTAATCGAATATTAATTTTAATGATTTTGAAAAAAAAAATTAAGAAAAAAAGAAAAAACTATATTATTATATATATGTACACAAAACAAATAATATTACGTTAAGTATAAAAAAAAATTAAATTAAAACTACAAAACTAATTTTTTTGTTTTGTTTCTATGTTTGATCGAAACACGTCTAAAATATTATTATTTTATTTTTATTGTTACAAACGAAATAAATGTATTAATAGGTATATAATATTATGTATACAAGTACACGACATTAAAAATGCGATAAAATTTTGTATTAACAATATAATATAGTAGTAGGTAATAATTTATGTAGGTATTTAAGAGAACACATTCCGAGAGTTTCTACAATGCGTCGACAATAAAAAATGTTTAGTATTTAAATGTATTTATGATAAATGCAACTTCGGCGGCAGCATATATATATATATATAGCGTATATATTATATAAATCGTGTTCCGTAATCAGCTATTATTGATATCATTATTATTGTTATTATTATTATTAATTTTTTAATTGTAACGATGCTTTGGTAATGCCATATACGAGAATTAGCGAAAGGAACACACACAACACACTTATCGTAATATATAATATTAAAGTTGAATTGAGTCAAGAAGGGCGTGGGGAAAAAAGTGTAAAATACGTACGGAATTTGGTTCTTTTTTATTTTGTACTTTGCGATGTACACACGAGAGAGCTTAAAAGCTTGATCGATACAACAATAATAACATAAATGATGACGGACAAGTCGGAATGGTAAAATAATTGGTTTGATTTAATTAAATTGATCATTATCTGCGCTCACGATACAACTATGTATGTGATGAGTCAACGATAAAAGCTAACCCTCCCACACCGGTCCAATATTTCGACGCCCGGAAATATAATAATATATAACGTGACGATATTAATAATATAAAACGTGTATATAATAATAAATGTACGTAATACGTTTAATATTTCAATAATATTATTATCTATTGTTGTTGGTATAAGGCACGTAACGAGTTTTTTTAGTTGAAATTAAAATATTTGCAATACGTATATTATATTTTAAAATGGATATACAACACGCATATTATTATACTATAGCATTATATAAATATAAGTGATGTGAATATTAATTATTAAACAATAATAGCGTTTGTTGGCGTACTTTGTTTAGGGGATTTGGTTTTTGTTTATCACTAACATTAATATTTAGTAGTGGAACGGAAGGAAGTATTATGGTGAGTTGGTACATCGCGCGACGGGACCGGAATGATGGATACGGAGGGCTAGGCTTAAAATATTATTTTGATGAAAATAATATGTTTACTGACATTCGAGTAGGTTTTATGTCTTAAGCAAAAAAAAATAAAAAATAATAATGGTAACGAGAGTTTATGGCTTGACGGTATATATATATATATATACTACATATGACTACTGTG